TCTGGGGCGGGCACCGCAGCTGTGGAGACGCCAGGGTCCAGGGCCGGGGGCGTCTGGTCGGGCGCGGCGTCTGGGACGGGCACCGCAGCTGCGCCGGCGCCAACCGCTGGGGCTGCGGGCGGCAGGGCGGGCGCGGCATCCGAGTCTTCTGTCGGCGCCAGAGGGTTCGCGAAGCTGACGGACAGCACTGCGCGGGCGCAGTGGCGTGGCCAATTTCCCTTTACCCCTAGCTCCAGCTTGGCGTTCTGCTGGAGATGGCAGAGGAGCTCCCTCTTGTAGTAGGTGGCCGTCGCCGTAGCCAGGTCCCCCGCCGCCTCGTGGACAAAGGGGCGGATGTGCTCCAGGTCGGGCGGCTGAAGTGTGACGCCAGTCCGCTCGAGCGTCTCCCGGAAGAGGGCGACGGACTCGGCCAGTGGCGCGCACGCTGCCCTTGCATCGGTGGCCGCAGTTCCGCCGGCTGCCTCGCGAGGTCGCCAAATGAGCGTCATGCATCTGCGCCGTGGTTGTAATGGGTGGGTGGGTTGAAAGGGTGGCTAGTTATTCGGCACCTGCTCTGCGGCGCATGCCGCTGCACCCCATCTGTGGCAACGTGTTCCAGACAGCTGCAAGCATTCCTGATCCAACCAGCACACACCACATGCAGACATGGGACCCTATCAAGCAAGGAAAGCAGGCACCTGTCTGCCTACAAGATAAATCCACCCACATCCCACCCCACCCACATCCCACCCCCAACACACAGGAGACCCACCTGGCGAAAAGTATCCGGTCGAGTGGTTGCAGGGCCGCATCCGCATCCGCCCGGCCAGCCTGCTTCCGCCGCTCAAACTCCTCCACCATACAGATGGCGTGAAAGCTGGCGAAGAGGTCGCCGACGGTGCGCAACTCGGTGACGACGGCCACGACGTCGTCCACTGTCGGTCGAAGCGCATCCAACACGCACTGCTGCTGCGCCTTCTTCTTCATCTCCTTCTTCTTCTTGTTCTTCTTCGTCTTCTTCTTCGGAAGATCCCGGAAGCCGTTCCAGGTCGTCTTGATGGAGGTTGTTGCGTAGTCGTCGATCACCTACAGTTTGTGATAGCGCGGGCGCAGGGTGTCGATAGGTGTGTGTGTCTGGGTGTCTCGATCAGCAGAGCCACGCATGCTTGGGATACTCCAGTGGCCCCCGGAGCCCCCCCTCCAAAGTGGCACACCAAGTCCTCACACACCTTCCCGAATCGGCCTAGCGTGCCCGCCTCGCCGGGCGCCTTCCGCCACTCGTTCACCGTGGCATCATTCTGCCACTGTTGATCCCTCTTCTCCGCATCGTCCAGCTTGTTGACCACGCCGAGTGGCACAGGAGGCGTCTGAGAGTCCTGCGACACAGGGCGATTAAAGACGGGGTGGGATGTGTGTATTCGCCTATAAGTTGCAGATACCAACTTTAAGAATCACATCTTCACTCCGTCACGACCATGCCTGTCGCACACCAATCAAATAAACCAACTCAGTCCACCCAACACAATCACCTGGCCCGCGGATGCAGGAGGTCTCGAAGTCGAGGGGGCATCATCCGCCGCCACGACA